TTTGAATTATGATGCTAGTGAAGAGTACTAAATAGATCATTGCCCAAAGATAAAATCTGCCTCCGAAGAAAGTCACAATGCTCTTTGGAAGCAGGGTGGGGAGGCTTCACATCTGGTACCTTAGATCCATTATTAGGCGGGGCCAGTCCCTGGAGAGGGACATCGTGCTTGGTAAAGGGTCAGTGAAAAAGGAAGGTCCTCAGGAGACAATGGCTACAACCATGGGTTCCAATACGGCGTGGATTGTGAGGGAGACACAAGACCCGGCAGGGTTTTGTTATTGTGCATAATGACCGTGACAGTGATTTGGGAGTTCTTGGAGGAGTGACCCAAGGGAGCCCTGGTAGCGCAGTGGTTAAGCGCTTAGCTGCTATCTAAAAGGCTGACGATTCTTACCCACTACAGACAGATGTGGCAGGTGCTTCTGTACAGACTAAAGCCTTGGAAACCCTGTGGGGCAGTTCTATTCTCTCCTATAGAATTTGAGTCAGAATTGACTCAATGGTAACCGGTTGGTTTTTTGGTTTTCTGGGTCTTAGTAAAGTGTGATTGCTGAACCAAAGCCCATCAAATGACCATGTAACCCAAACTTCCTATCGAAAAGTGTGTGTTGTCTGACCCACCAAGTCACCTCTGCTGGTCCCATGACCCATGGAGACAAAAGGGGGCCCAAATGGCCTCAGTGGAGCAGACATTGGTGTCCGAGCTGAGTTCTGTCTTAGGACAGAAGCACACATCAGGGAAGAGCAGTAGGCTGAGCCCACCCCTCCCCAGGACCAAAGTTAGAGAATGGGAACCCGGGGAGACTGGAGAATGAAGGAACCAGGCAGGGGCAGGGCGAGCATACAGCACAGGACAGTGACGAGACCAAGGAGGTGAGAAGTGATACAGGAAGCTGGCAGTGGGCCACGATGCAGCCCTGGGAAGCAGACTCCTCACTGGATGAGGTTGCAGATGGAAAATGCTCTCACAAAACTCGGTCCCCAGATCCAGGCAGGCGGAGAGAGGAGGGGAGGGGTTATACCAAGCATGAGTTTCCAAGCTGGTGCCTCCGGGCTCTCCCAGTCAGAAGGGCAGCCTGGGCTCCACACAGTGCTCTCAGGACAAAGAGACAGCAGCTGGGACGGCCTGTGGGGGTCCACAGTTTCCGACCTGGGGAGCCTGGCTGGGAGCTGGCAATCTGTGTGTCAGAGGGGCCCCAGCGCAGGTCAAGGCTGAGAGGGAAGGTTGCCACTTTGAAAATGATGACTGATGTGGGGGGTGGTCCTGAGTGAAAACCTACAGCCAGTCGGGCGACCCCATCTTCAGTGGTCTGCCTCTGAGCCCCAGATACAAAGCTATGGGCCATCACTCAAATTCCAAGGCCTTTAATTGGCAGTTAAAGTGCTGGCTCTCGTGGCTCCTCCCACATTGCCATGCCCCACCCCATGCCATTTGCTTTCCTACCTCCCTTCCCAGGCCTTCCTGGCTCCCTCTGCTACTCCCCACCCAGTACTCCGGCCCCTTGTCCCAGCCTCCTAGGTGGATGCTGGTGGGGGTGTCGTCAGGGCCCCCGCTGCCGCCCCCAGCATCAGCATGGCCAGGGCCTTGGGGCCGGTGGTGTGAATCTTCTCATGCCGGTGCAGGTTGGAGCGGCGGCTGAAGCTCTTACCACACAGGGGGCAGGAGTAGGGCCGCACTCCACGGTGCGTTCGCTGGTGGGCGGTGAGGTGGGAGCTATGGCTGAAGCTCTTGCCACAGTCGAGGCAGTGGTAGGGTTTCTCGCCGGTGTGGGTGCGGTTGTGGGCGATGAGGTTGGAGCGCTGGCTGAAGCACTTGCCGCATTCAGGGCAGGGGTAGGGCTTGACGCCGGTGTGGGTGCGCTGGTGGGTGACCAGGGCCGAGCTCTGCGTGAAACACTTGCTGCAGATGGGGCACTTGTGGGGCTTGGCGCCCGTGTGGGTGCCCTGGTGGGTCACCAGGTCCGAGCGGCGGGTGAAGCGCTTGGCACAACGGTCGCACACGTAGGGTTTCTCGCCGGTGTGGATGCGCTGGTGCTGGATCAGCGTGGAGTGGTGGCTGAAACTCTTCCAGCAGGACCGGCATGTGTAAGGCTTCTCGCCCGTGTGGATGATCTGGTGCTGGATGAGGTGCGAGCTGCGGCCGAAGCGCTTGCCGCAGTCCGTGCAGGCGTAGGGCTTCTCGCCCGTGTGCGTGCGCCTGTGTGTCACCAGGTGGGAGTGCCAGCTGAAGCCTTTGCCACACTGCTCACACTTGTACGTTTTCTTGCTGCCATCACCCTCGGCAGCCACGCCCTCCTCGCTGCTCTCGGTGGCAGTGCGTCTCTCCTCCTCACTGGGTTTCTCAGGAACCCTGCCCTCCCGGGGGTCCGGAAGGCTGGTGGCTGGCAGGGCTGGCTCCCGCTGCCCCTGCTGCCCCTGCTCCATAGGCCTGGGCAGCCCGTCGTCCTCAGTCTGTCCTGAGCCTTGGCTACCGGCTGTGGGCTGCCCACACTGCAGGGTCACCCCTGGGGCTCTGCCTGCCCAGCTTCTGAAGGGCTTCACATCCCTAAAGGGAGCCGGGACTGGAGTCTCCGTGCCCACGTCCATAGCATCTGGGGAAAAAGGGTGGTGACCAGTGAGGGACCCGGGGCTAAGTGGGGAGAGGATTCTGGGAGATAAGAAAGGACAGAGCCCTGGGAAGGCCCCAGAAGCAAGATCCTGTGGCTACAGTGGATGGGCAGCAGCAACCCAGCCCAGTGCAAGTCCTGGGAGAGTGACAGCGGACCCCTCTATTCCCTGAGCCCTCACCTGTGCACACAACCGTCTCCTCCTCGTCTCCTCTCTGCAGGTGGGAGCTGGAGGCTTCACCCTTCCCCTGCATATGGGAGGCCCACAAGGCCCTGTTGATGGGAAATCCTGGCCGGAAAGACACACTACACTCAGATGCAGGACTTCTGGGGTGGCCCACCACCAGACATCAGACCCCCACAAGTGGTGGGGCATCCAGGAGTGGGGCTTAAAGCTTGGAAACCTGGGGTAGAATTAAAGTGGGTACAGGAAATCACTTTTGAGGGAGTTGTGGCTTAGGGGGCATTGAGTACATGTTCATGGTGGTGGATCTGGAAACTGATAGCACGACTCCCCATCCAGAGCAAAGAAAATGAAAAATGCGAGGAAACCATGAGTCCAGCTGACCAATGGCCCATGGGCACCTCAGCCTCCGTGACCCTGAGACCAGAAGAACTAGATGTGCAGGGTATTCACTGCCCACTGCTCTGAAAGGGGTCGGAAACTCCGCTGAGTAGAGTGGGAGAAAAATGTGGGAACAAAATTCAGAAGCATAAAAAAGTCCAGGCTTTCTGGCCTAATAGAGACTCTTCAGGCCTAGAACTGAGTTCACCCTCAACATGGCTCCCTTTTCAGCCAAAGAATAGATACGCCTGTAACATGAATAGTTAACACCAGGAAGGTTCGTACTTCTTGAAACAACCAACTGTAAGAGATCCAAGGGCAGCATGTGCCCAGGGACAAACCTCCGAGGGCAGGAAGGGACAGGAAAGAAGGCTGAGTGGGAAGGGGAACCACAGAGAGCTGTCACACTGTGTGGATTGCAGTCCACATCATGAATCAAAATGTGTGGGAATTGTTGTATGGAAACCCAATTTGCTATGTACACTTTGACTTTGACCCAAATTACAATTTAAAAAAATTAAAAAAGACGGAGAATGGAATAGCGTCACTGAATTTCACATGTGGAACTTGTTGAATTGGTGCGTTTGCTCGCAGGTGTTTGAACCACAATAAAAACACTTTTGAAAATCACGTTCAGCAAGGGGCCCACCACTCCTTGGAGGCAATTCCACAGTTGGAGCAAGCAGGTAGCTGGAAAGTTAGGGTGTCTGTGAAGCCCACCCCAGGGATGCTTGTGGGTCCTAAGTCCTTGTGTTGGAAGGCTAAACAACATGAGGTGAGCACACCTGAGACAATGAAGGGTAAGCGGGCAGCTGCTGGCACCGAGCAAGGGGCCGCCTGGCTGGCTGCAGGTCTTCACTCAGGGCCACTCCACACCCTGGTCATCACTTTCAGGGTGGTAACCTCACCTGGTACCCGCAAACTCAAGGGTGCAACTGCAAGCCCATGGGATCTGCAGGGCACTTGTGGGTGTCGAGAGCTAGTAAGGAATGGCTGGATGAATGAATGAACGAACTCAGAGTCCTCCAGAATCCTCCTCCCAGAAAACTAGAGTCTGAAGCTCACAGTCAAGAGCCTTGAGGCTGAAAGAAGCGGCAGCAGACACAGGGCACCAAGGCCCTCTGGGAACAGACTCCAAGCACAATGGGCCTGAGAGGCTTAGCTGGGGCCATCCCCCACCCCCAGGCCAGCAACCCCCAGGCCTCAAGGCCAGGTTTTCTGCTCAGACGCCTCTGCAGTGGGAGCTTTGAGGGGGACAGTGGGAGGACAGGACTAAGCACCCTGGAATTACCCAAAAGAGCAGGCCTTTCCCACTGGCCAGGTGGGGCTATTTAAACCTAAACTGGAACTGATTGCAATGAAACGCGATTAAAATTCCATTGCACTGACCACAGGCAAAAACTGAACCTTCACAGGTGACCTGTAGCTATTGTCTTAATGCAGATAAGGAACATTTTCCTCCAACCTGAAGGTGCTATTGGACAGAACTGTCCAGGTAAACAGCAATGAGAGGTGGAAGCAGTACTGCCCCCCAAGGTCACTCACCCAAGGACATCCCGTTCCTCTTCTGCAGGTCTTCTCTATAGGAGCTCTGCTGAGCGTGGTCCAGGCGGCCCCACTCTTCCCGGGACAGATACAAAGCCACGTCCTCAAAGGTCACTGGCATCTGAAACAGCAGAAGCCACCCCGTCACTCTCCAGGTCACACTTTGGGGACCAGGGAAGGGACGAGATGGGTGGTGAGATCCCAGACCTCCCAGAGCAGTGTGCCAGACTCCCAGGGCAGGTCAGTGGGTACGGGCCTCACAAGGTACCTCGCAGAGGCCAAGCACCCACCAGGAGGTGGAGGAGGCCACACCTAGGCAGGGACCCTGGGAGCACTCACCTGGGACCAGGCGGTGAGGAGAGCTGCGGCCATCTGGCGGTCTCGGGTTCTCCCCTCCCGGGAAAGGGCCTGGACCTGTGGGGAGGGGCTGGCTGGGGGAGCAGAGGGGTCTTCAGAGACCAGCCCTCTGCTGCCCCCAAAGGGCCCAGCCCTGGCCTCCAGAGGCATGCATGACCACTCAAATACCACCTCCCCTGGGCTGACACTCAGGGTGCTGTGCGCTGAGGCTGCCTGAGGTAGACAGACCCCCTCCCCACTATGAGCCACAGCTGCCGCTTCACTTGGAAGCATCTGTCTGCTCATCCTCACTACCACTGCCTCAGCGCCTTCACTCCTCCCTGCTCACCTCCTCTAGGAAGGAGAGGAACCTTGTCTTTGACATCCTGGCACAGAGGTGCCCACCCTTGCGCACTCCGAACCTCTTCCTCCTGCAATGCCCCCTCAGCAGGTGGCTCTTTGGGCTCCGTCTTGATGTGCGGAGTCTCCTCAATGGCTCCCAAAGGCACTGTCTGCTCCAACTCAGAAACCATTTCTCCACAAGGATGCTGGTGACCCGGAATCTAGGACAGGCAGCCCTATCAGCAGTGGGTAGGGCTGGGGTGGGGTGGGAGAGACGACCCCAGTTCTGCCTGGGGTTGGGGGGGGCCTACTGGCAGCAGCAGAAACCAAAGGCATCAGAACGCATACCAGACTCCAGGCACAGATCTGGCCACACGGTAGCCCCACAAGGACAAGGCAGTCAGGGAGGAGATGCTGCATGTAGAGAGCGTCCACTGTGATCCTCCAGGGTTCAGCTGTGCCTGGCAAGTGCCCCCACAACCGAGACCCCATTTCCTGCTCTCTCTCTCCTTTTGCTTTATCTTCTCTATATTGTACCTTGTATCGTTTTTGGGCCAAAGAGCATAAAAACGAGCTGTCCCTTCAAATGCTGTTAGGAATCATTTCCTGGGACTAGGGACGCCCCCTGGGAGGCCACATCTTCACCTGCAAGTCATTTCTTGCTGGTCAGCCTAGTGCGGTGGTCAACCAGGGTTTGCCAGCTTTCTGCTAGGAACTTGAGCCTCTCCCTCCACCCTCTGGTCTGTGTCTGAGGCCTGGGTTGGTCAGGGGCCCAGGTGCCAGACCCCCAGTACCCCTGAGCAGTGAGACCACCTCCTTGAGTCACAGCTGTTCCCCCTCCTGCACACGCACGCACAGGGCAGCATGAGAATTTCTGCTCCCTAAGGATGCACACAGAGCGGCGCTGGTAAGGAGGGTGAGGTGGCTGTCACTGTGCCTGGGAGCCTCGAGCAGTAGCAGAGAATGTGGCCAACAGAGGTGGGGCAGGCACACACGTACAAAGTCACTCTGGATGAAAGTCAGCAGCCACGATCCTCTACACTCCCGTGCCAGGAAAACAGTAAGACTAACATTTGGCTTTTGTGGCAGTTGTGAGGACCCAGGTTTCTCGGACTCAGGTGTGGCTGTGGTGGCCGCCTTTGTTTGATGTCTGGGAGACTATGTTGACGTTGGTGAAGGGTGGCAGCGTCATTGTCTTTCCAGCCTCCTGATGACCAGACGAGACAGATAGGTGGGCCCTCCCACTTCACAGACAGCCCCTCCCACACACAGGCCAGGGGACTTGCCCAAGGCCATGCACCTGGCCTGCAGCTAACTCACCCTGATGGACTGAAAGCCTGTGACCAAGGCCCCTCCCTCCTCAGGTTGTAATTACACATGCCCGGAAGGCTCTGGTGGACAGGGGGCTCAGACCCGAGGAGATGAGTTCAGGCGGAGGGGATTGGAGGTCAAGTGTGGTTTTCCTGGGCGTACTGAGCATTGTTCAGGGGGCAGACCTCACCAGTGGGGTTCCCACTGGTCTCCCTGCTACCCCATGTGGCCTGCAGGTCACAGACTGTAGAATTCCCCAGGGAACAAAGCAACTATTCAGAAGTCGAAGTTCAGGTAGGGGCCATTCCCCATGCTTCTCTGTAGCGCCCCCTATCTTTCCTACCTAGGTCCCTGCTGGCACAGCAGTTAAATGACCAACCAAAAGGTCAGCAGTTCGAACCCACCAGCCGCTCCTCAGGAGAAAGGCAGTCTGTTTCAGTAAAGATTCACAGCCTTTGAAACCATAGGGGCAGTTCCAATTTGTCCTACAGGGCAGCTAAGAGTCAGAATCTACTCAAAAGCGCCATGGCACAAACCAGCTCTAGCCCTTGGTGTGTCCACTCTCCCTGTGGTCCAGCATCTCTTCCTTGAAAACCCCACCCACCTCCACTCCCTCCAGGGTGTGCTCACCCTCCCATCCATACCTCTCGGGCTCCCTCCTGGTCCTGGGTATTCCCCAGTCCCCTGCCGTCATCTGCAGACATTTTCTATCTCAAAGTTTATAATCTCAGCTGAGCCTTTTCTCCCTCTTGTGCTGGCCAGGGTCCTGGAAGAGCAGAAAGAAACCAGCGGGGGCTGGCTGGGACATCCTGAAACTCCCCATGCCGGGGTCCCATGAGCCTCCCTGACTCCATGGCAAGGCCCCACTTCTTTATCTTTGTCATTGTGTTTATTCCCCTTTGTCATGGAATAAGAGCCCCACACATCAATACAAGTAGCATAGGAAAAGCCTGGACTGAATCTGAGCCACACCTTCTGCATGGGGAGAAGAAAGTCCCACATAGACCCCACAATCAGCCACTCTGCTCCAAGCTGCAACATCCCTGTCCCAGGGCCCAGAGGTCCAACCTGCTCCAGATCCCGGGGGACGATGTGCAATGTCCTTCTCCTTCCCTGGCCCGAGTCCAGGTCCCTTCTCTCCCCACCAGCTCGAAGCTGTCCAGCTTTGACTCCAGCTCCTCTTGCAGGCTGGCCACCACACCTGTCCCTGGGGACCCTGGCGCTTCCCCAGCAACCCCGCCCACCGAGGTGGAGGCAGAGAGGGCACCTCAGTGGCTGGGCCCCCGCCCCAGGAAGGGAGCCTGCAGTCTGTACCTGGTGGGCGCAGGGAGCCGGGCGGAGACTGGGATTAGGGACAACAGGAAGTCCCTCCCAGATCCCGGTCCCCATGTAGCTGCAGGCGGACAAGGTTCCTGATGTCGAGGGTTCCGGGCAGGAGTCTGAGCCGGGACTACACCCTCTCTTGGCCAGGAGGGGACAATGCGGAGGTGGCTCCCTGATCTGCATTGCCGGCTCATAGGATACCGTTGCCTGTGCTGATGATAACAATAAAAATAATAATTTTTAAAGGGGGACATTTTGAAAACATTCTGAAATCTGGTGATTCAAACAGAGCCTGGCCAGAGTCATGGTCACTTCGCTGGGCAACCTTACACTTATTTTCAGTTTGAACCACATTGGGCCAAGGGGACAGGAGCATCCTTTCCCCTCAAAGTCCATGATAGCATTTAAGCCTGGACAGGCCAGCGGGTCCTGTGGGTATCCCCAAGACTGGCATAGAGTTCTCACTTCTGAAGTGTGAACTTAGGAAGTCCTTAGACATCCTTCAAGCCTGGAACTGAACTCACCCATATTGTCAGGAAGGACCAGTCACTGGAGAAGGATATCATGTTTGGTAAAGTGGAGGGTTAGAGGAAAAGAGGAAGACCCCAATGAGATGGATTGGCAAAGTGGCATCATCAATGGGCTCAAACGTAGCAACGACTGTGAGGTTGGCCCAGGATGGGGCAATGTTTCATTCTGTTGTGCATAGGGGTCACTATGAGTTGGTACCAACTCAATGGCACCTAACCACAACAAAGTGAATAGAGATAAATACTGTTAACTGTTGGTACATGGAGTGGACTGCAATCACTGTAGAAGCAAAGTAAATTATTTATTTAGTGTAAAACTGATGATCTGTAAATCTTCACTCAATTCACAATAAAAAGTTGAATGTTTTTTTTTCAAGTCAATAATATTTTCAAGCTATTAGCTGAAAAAAACAGGAAGGGACCCTGGACAAAAAGAACACCTCAGTCTGTGGCACTTCTCTGCCAATGAGGAGCAGAGCCAGGGTAAAGGAGTTCAGTCTCGTGTTAACCATTTCAGTCCATTGCAGTTCCAGGAGTGCAGAGCTCAACAAAAGTAGATGCATCCTGATTCCTGGACAAAGCTTCTCTACCACACCAAAGGGGCCAGTGACAAAAGGGGTCTCAGAAATTCAGATTCCACATGAGACTACCACAAAACTAGTGCACATGAAGCCTGAACCTGATACAATTGCTTAGAATAGACTTACTGAGCACCTACTACATGTTGAAAGGAGCTCTGGTAGCGAAGTGGTTACGAGTCGGGCTGCTGATCTCACAGTCAGCAGTTCGAAACTACCAGCTGTTCCATGGGAGAAAGATGAGGCTTTCTGCTCCCGTAAAGATTTACAGCCTCGGAAACCCTGTACAGGGT